AATTAGTGTTTGCTTTCGATTAACTGTGCACTTTCTTTTTAATTATTTTCTTCATACATTATCTATCATTAATGAGTAAGATACCCACTTTATATACCATGAATTTCACTTAAATACATAGTAAATCATATGTTAAGAAGATAATTGAAAAAAAGAAGTATATTGAAAATGATCTCACTCCTATAACACAGGTCTTGGAATTATGGGTGTTAATTTTATCCATTAACACGAACTCGATCTGACATAAAATTCAAAAAATAACACGATTAGTTAACACGAACAATAAATGTGTCAAATTAAGGTTACATACGAATAACATGATTAATGGATACTGTATATAAAAAATAAATATTTAACGAGTATTTTTAGACAAAATTTAAATATTTTATGGTGTTTTAAATAAGATTATATGAGTTGTCGTAAAATTTAAATATTTTTTTATTGATGTGAATCCGACACATACTAAAAATAATACGATTGAAAATGACACGACTTGAAAGTGACACGACACGACACGATACAATACATTGACACACTTGCTTAAAATGATATTGTGCATTATGTGGCTGAAGAACTAAGTGGAATACCTTTCCAACAATAATGTATAATAGAGTGCCAAAAAAAAAAAAAAAAGAACCTCTTCATCGAAGCATTCACGACCTCAAATTGTGACCAGATAGAGCAACTAAGATACAAAAGGTGGGCATAATTGAAGTAGACAGAATGATCAATCAAAGGGTTTCAACCTGGAAAAAAAAAACTATGTTATCTGCGAACGTTGTCGATTGAAGTAGACATAATGATCAATCAAGGGGTTTCGACCTAGAATAAAAAACTGTTATCTGGGAACGTTGTCAACTTGAGCAGGTTTTTTCAGGACATGAGTAAGTCAAAATTGGGAAATCATTGAACTTTTGAAGCAGTGAGGATGTGAAATTTCACTGTTACTATGTCAAAACCTCAATCCTCACTAACCTCACATCTCTACTTGTTCTTATATGACACTTGTCCTCTATTTGATTATGGATGAAGGGCATGAATTTTGATTCGACTTATACACAATAAAACAAATAGTTTTGCGTGCGTGATGTTTTTATTAGCTAAAAATTGTAGGGCGGATGTATCATATACGGAGGATACTTACTAGATTTTTGTGATTTAAATCATGTAATTAATAATAAAATAGTAACGTATAAAAACTGATCTGATTGTCGAAAATGAACTGTTTAAGAATTTGATAAAAGTTAGTCCATTCACAAATGTAAAGTTTATAGAAGACTGTTATTGCTCATCATCATTTAGTTATTACATTTTTTTTTTCTCATTGTTGGTCATATGTATAAAACTAGCTTCGGGCTTGAGCAAACAGAAAAAACACTACAATCTGTTTGCACAGCAAAACAGAGAGTATGGTTCGTACTCTCTATATGAAGACTCTTAAGCACAAGAATAATGAATGTAATAACATCCTTAATAACGAATTTTGTAAGTTTTAATGTAGCTTGTAAGTCCTGAATGCAAAATGAATATGAGTATATTTATAAATACAGAGATGACTGTTGGGAATAGCCACCACTGATCAGATGCAATTCATAAAGACCCTGGAGATGTCCATTGATGAATAGTCATGAAACAATTCAAATCCCAACCAGAGCTAATTTTNTAAAATATACGATGTCCACCTTGAAACAATTTTCTGGCTCCACTCCTGCCAACAATTCAAGTAAGACTTCTATTTTATATAATAATTTATTGTTAATTAATATGAATTCTAACTAGCAAAAATTAAACTTCAAGTAATAAATTAGGGACATAATTGACAAACGATTTTTTTAAAAAATATAGAAGATTGAATTTGCACCACACCCACACCCATACCCGTACCCGTACCCGTACCCGTACCCGTACCCAAGCCCAACCAGGTAGTAGCGACTTCACGTGCGTATGTGTGTGTATGGTGGAATCCAAGTCCATTTAGATTTTCTCCGGTCCACAAAAATGGGTACCCGTTGTAGTCCATCCTTTAGAATAAACTTGGGATATATACTCACCAAACTTTTTCAATTAATTTTTTCAGTTATATAATAAAACTCTAGTTATTTTAGACTTTTTTAAATTTACAGCAATGGGAGAACGAAAATTGAAACTAAATTGTCAAAGTTATTAAGCATCATGATATTTAACTTTTGAGGCACATTTACAAGTAGTAGTCATCCGTGCGCATTGAAAAAATATTATTTTTTTTATTAATAACGATTTAAGAAGGGAAATTAAATTTGAATTGTATATGCTGTGTCACATGTAATATTCAAAGTTTGAGGTTCCCCCTCTGTTGATTGTGACTTCAATTCAAACACGACTCTATTATCTGTGAATTCTCTATATTATATTTAGAATCTTATACATTGTTCTTGTTAAACTTTTTGCATATGATTGGTGGGCGGGCAACTATATATGACCGCTGAAGAGACCAAATTACTCTCAAAACACTTGTGTAAGACATAGTCAAAAGGGCCATTTTCCCGTGGAGCAAGGAGAGAAAAGAAGTAATATCAGGGCACTATGGATAAGAGTAAAAAATAAGATAGGAAAACTGACACGAAATTAACAGATTTGAATTTAGTATCGACGAAGTTGAGTGATACCTGGTCTCATAAGATCTGTCAAGAAAGTGTAATATTATAAAATTTTTAAAAATCGATTTAAAAATTTGACTTCGTGTCAAAAAGAGTCATATGTCTTGAAGCGACAATTTTTAACACAATACGAAAAACACGACTTGCAATCGACACGAAATTAGTGGGTTAATGTTGACCATTTATCGACACGAACCCGTATATGACACTACTTATTAACACGGATAATAAATAGGTTGTGTCAGTGTCAAACACGAACAACATGAACTTGACACGATTAACATGTTTAAGAAGTATTATAAGAATAAAATGTTAATTTTTTATTATATTTTATCAAGTAATAACCTTATTCTTTAAAAAAAAATATATTTTTTCTTATTTTTCTTATTATATTTATTAAGTTAATTTTTGGTTTATAGAAAAAGTACGAGTATAGGTTCAATTAAGTAATAATGAAATTTTAAACAAAAAATTGGGCATTAAATTTTTTATTTACGAGTTATATGAGTTAACACAAATATGACACAAAAATAAATAGGTCTACACGATATGACACGATTAATTAAATAGGTTAGATTAAAATTAATTAGTATCCGATACAAACTAAAAATGACACGAGGACTGATCGTCACTCCTGCCTTTGTCCACCAATGCGTTCAGGTATTACGGTGTACAACTTGTACACGGTTGTTATCTCTTGAAAATGTATAGTAGTACTTGGTATTGTTAATGGCTTTGAAGACGGACGGTGACGACTGATGGCCCATAGATTAGAGGTGATTTGGCTTCTAAAGGCAAAGATGGATGGGGACACCACTCGCTTGAAAAAATGTCAGTTTCATGCCGGCTCTTGTAGGATGTAGAGAGCCAGTCTAAGTAACCAGTCCCAAAATTATATTTTAACACCACTTACTTTTTTTTTTTTTTAATTATAATCTCTTCTTTTTTCATAATTGAAAATCACTCTACTCATACGTCTTTTGTACATGTGATTATAACATAAATTCGAGATGCATATAATCACTCACAAATCATATATATAATGGAGTAGATCAACCATTCCGTCTTTTCAGAGGCTAAAATTTGGAATCTTGGGATGGTATATAAGGCTTGAATTATTTTCATCCAAGCTTGTCTTTTCTAGTTTGTTTGTTACAAGGTTTGTCAAAAGAGCACCTTATCCACTTTATTTTTTTTTATTTACAAGGTTTATTGGTTGGGTTAAATTCGTTTCAATTATTCATGCATCCATATAATATGGGACTAACACATTACGATGCTAGGAAGAAACAAACACAACCTTATAAAAATTGCTTTTAGAGCCTACAATTATGAATCTTTAGCCATTTTATTATGCACCCAAGCCATGGTACTATAGTTGTCCGGTCATCATCGTTGTCTTCTGTGAAAGAGCATCGTGCCCGAATGTCCGTGACACCTTCACTTAGATAACACCTTATTTTGTTTCTTTAATTTATTATAGGTTTTTCATGTTGAATAAGCTCTTCAATATACGACACAAATTCGATTATTTACGCGTATAAATCGGTCATTTGACAAAACATATTTAGAGACAATCAGATTCATTGTCGATCCTATTGACCCAAACAACCTAAAGATCACATCTCCCTTTTTTGGTCAAACACAGCAGGTAGCATTTCCAAAGGTGTTTTTCTTTGTGGCTATAAGGCATAGTCAAACAGTAACTGCTAAAGTTCAGAATGATGATTGAGAACAATTCTTTCTGGAATTAATGAAATCAATTCAAGTGGAACAAGTTTAAAAATAGAAAGTTTTGAAGTTGATTGTAGGAACAGATTTGATGAACAGTCCCGGATACTTCTTACCGTTAAATTAAAAAAACAGAGATTTAACGAACGGTCAAACTTTATCTTACAATCCTTAATTCCTAATACTTAGAACGCAAGAGCAATGTTATTATGAAATAATTTAATGGTCTAATCATTCATAATCATTTAATTGACAGTGAAACCTAGTATTTATTAGAACTTTTAATCAATTCAATGATTATACTAGGTTTAGGTTAGCAAAATGAGATACAAATTAATAATGCTGCATTAGAAGCAAAGATCCCATGTGGATCTAGATCAATTGTAATATTCTATGAAAAAAATTCGAACCGAGCATACTGAAGAAGATACAAATCTATTAGAACATGTCACGGGACTAAATAATAATATTAGACAAGTCAACAATGATAACTCAGTGTTATCGAATATTTATTCCGGCAATAAGAGAAGCCTGCCGAAGTATTGCTATTATTTACGTGCGTGTGCTACTGGCAATTTGCCTCCTCATGCTACGGAGGAAACACAAAAAACATCCAATGTGGGCAGCAGCAAAATGTTGAACGTATGCTACGTGGCACTACCTAGTGAGATCAAGAATGGACTTATAGGTCCCACAGCACAAATAACACAATCCCCATATCCCGCCTGCTCCATCTCCAAACCTCCACTATATAAACCCCGAGAGCAACCCAACCCCAATCCCCACCACCATCAATCCTGCCACAAACCTTCCACCACCACTGGGCCTAGCTTAAGTCTTTCCAAACTTGGCAAAACCACCCAAATTGTTAGCACCAATCTACCACATATGGGTAATGCCGATTATGAATATCCACTAACGAATGTTGAGAGGGTACATAGTGTCGCAGTTCCACCACCACAACCATTTTTCAAGTCACTGAAAAACTCCTTCCAAGAAACTTTTTTCCCAGACGACCCATTTCGGCAGTTGAAGAACCAGCCACCGTCTACAAAACTAAAGCTTGGCATTCAGTACTTCTTTCCGATCTTTGAATGGGGTCGTCGTTACAGCTTCGAGTTCTTCAAAGCTGACCTTTTAGCCGGAATCACCATAGCCAGCCTCGCAATCCCTCAGGGAATCAGCTATGCAAAACTAGCTAACTTGCCACCCATTCTTGGCCTATGTAAGTGCAGGAAATTTATGAAAAAAATATTACATGAGCTAAAAAAGAGTGACGCGGCCCCAGCGCTAATCAGCTGCTATCTGTTCTACATCAAAAAAGTTTGTGGTTTGTAATAAATTTTTGTGAATTTGGTGTTGAAAAGTGCAGATTCGAGCTTTGTTCCGCCGTTAGTTTATGCGATGATGGGGAGTTCGAGAGATTTGGCAGTAGGCACTATTGCTGTTGCATCACTTCTCACAGCTTCGATGTTGGGGGAAGAAGTTGACGCCAATGAGAATCCACAGCTTTATCTTCACCTTGCTTTCACCGCAACGTTTTTTGCTGGAGTGCTTCAAGCTACCTTGGGCATCTTAAGGTTGGTAAAAACTTAATAGAACAGTGGAAAAAGATCCTATGGTGAAGAACTGGCGATTCTTTTCAACTTCCTTGGCGTATACTTAGTTTGGCAATTATTAGCTCACAATGACACGTCTTGTGGGGCGATTAGGCTTTTGGTAGGTAGTGACTAAACATCATGTTGGACTTCTTGTCTCTTTCTCTCTCCCTCCCTGTGTTGTCATTTTTGGAGAATTGGTCTTGTTGCATATGGTTAGGTTAGAGAAAGGAGAGATTTATTTGGATTAAACTTGCTACGTTGTCATTAGATTGACAGCTAAAATTAAAACTCAAAATTAATCGGACCACTATAATAAATATGATCAAAAATTCTAATGAATAATTTGGTCGAAATAATTGTATTACTAATTAGAAGAGAAAACTAAGTTCTTTGTGATGAAATTTGTTTTTTTTTTTAATTCAATTGTTAGTGGTGTCTGAATAGTTTATGAGCACCTCGACTAATCTCCTCTCCGGTCCGGTTAAAAGCAGGTCATCCACGTCAAAATTATGGTATTCATAAGGGATAAATATTTCATAGTCTGACCCCAATAAATTGTCAAGATTCGAATTCAGAACATCTAAGTTTACAACTTTTCCATATTACTTACTTGAACTATTATTGGGATAATAAAGTTTGTTTTAATGAACATAAAATGTGAATCGTGATTGGTCAAGCGTTTATAAGAATAAATATTAAATGTTACAGTGATACCATGTCACCATTGATAACATGGTATCACCAACCAATAATAAAACCCTAAATGGACAAGGTAAACCTCACTTGATCTTACATAGAAAAAGAGTAGAAAATTATTTGTTTAAGTGACAGATTTGTTATTAATTTTTGCGGGGTCTATTTACTTATTTGAGATTTTATTATTAATTGATGATACTACATCACATTATCACGTGGTATTACCGTTGTAATGAATATTTTCTCCGTTTATAGATATGGATTATGCAATTTTATGTTAATTCAATGTATTTTTTTTACATATTTCAGAAGATAAATTTTTGTGTTTTCTTGAAACAATGTTGTGGGGTTTTTTCTTTTTTGCAGGCTAGGGTTTATGGTGGATTTTTTATCGCATGCAACCATCGTAGGTTTCATGGCGGGAACAGCCACAGTGATTATGTTGCAACAGCTCAAAGGAATTTTTGGGCTTGAACATTTTACTCATGGAGCCGACCTTGTCTCTGTCCTGCGCTCCGTTTTCAGCCAAATCCATGAGGTCTCTCTCTCTCTCTCTCTCTCTCTCTCTCTTTTGTGTGTGTGTGTTCATAACTTCTTCTGGGCTTGACCATGGCTCTTTTGATTGCTTAATCTCTTAACTGATGATTGTATTTAATGCAGTGGAGATGGCAAAGTGCTGTATTGGGATGTACTTTCCTTTTCTACCTCCTGCTCGCCAGATACGTGGTGAGTGTACATCTCTAATAATTTTATTTTAATGAAATTTATTGGTTAAATTTATAGGTAATATTGTTATTATGGTTGGATCAATAATAGATTTACTTGATTTAAACACCCGTCCTAATCAATAATAACTAATACTATTTAAAAAACCAACAACTTCTAGTCAAAAAGGTTCAAGAAAATGGGTCTACTGTAAATGTTAAAAATTCTCAAGGAATAGTTGTTGGCCTCAATAATCTCACTTGCCGCACCTTTTGTTCCCTTACTATCTTCATTTGGTTGAAATACCACACAAAGTGATTCCACTTTATTTTATTTTTTTGTTTTGAAACAAAAGATTACTTAATATTATAATACTTTAGAACAAATCACGATCATATTAGTGATCATATTTGTTGGAAGGAAAGAATGCTAGTGGACCACATCATAAAGAAATATTTTTTTTCCTTACAATTAATGTGGTGTTATTTTCATTCTATTTGTTCATTAGTAATATAGAAAAATTGTTAATGTTTGGTCAAGTCTATGATACCAAACTTAATTTCTTGGTATTATAAGGAAAAAAAATTTCTAATCTAGATCTTGTCTTGAATTACAGAGCAAGAGAAGACCAAAGCTTTTTTGGATATCAGCAATGGCTCCTCTGACCTCAGTCATCTTAGGAAGTCTTCTTGCTTACGCTACCCATGCTGAGAGACACGGCGTTCAAGTGGTGAGCTCTCTCTCTCTCTCTCTCATAATGCTGGCCCCTTCACAGAACCGTCCAGTGCAAGTGAATAGGACCAACACCCGGACACGACTATATTACTGACAAAAAAAAATCGGCTGCCTAACTTTAAAATTTATTATTTTAATAGATATTTTTATAATTTTGGTGAGTTATTTTATAATTAAAAAATTATTATATTCGTGAGTGATTTATCACATTTATGAGTATTTTTATTAATGTTGTGAGTATTTTTATCATTATTATAATAACTATTTTTATCACTTTTCTTCGGTATAAAAAATTTGTCATTTTAATGGATAATTTACTATATTTATGGATGTTTTTATGATGAAAACACCCACAGGCCACAATAGCTGTAAAAATATTCAGAAATGTGTAAATAGAGGGAAAAGTGTATCGTCTTTTCGGATTTAAGATCTCCTAAAATTCATTTTCTTCTTGACAGGTTACGAAAATATATTGAAGGGCATCTCCTCTGTATAGTGTTTTTTGTGTTGGGTGGGCCTTATATCTTGTCTGGTATATGGGTTTCGCAAGTTAAAACCTGATTTGAAGTTTAGTAATTGGGCCACTTTAACATATACATGGGCCATTATGCAATGGTCTCCAATGACGGATTGGGCCTCATAAATCTCGTGTTCAAATTGGTACTGCCCGTAAGCTGGCATTCTTTATATTTAAGTAGAATGCCAAAATAGAACTTATTAAAATGGAAAGAATTAGAGAGGAACCAAATTCAAAAATGTCTGATTGGTCGCTCTTTCTTTTCTTTTATTTTTTATTAACCTCTATATTATATTTTCAGTTAAGAAAACTACTGATATGCTATATGATTTGGCATCGTATATGCAGATAGGGCACCTGGACAAAGGGTTAAATCCTATTTCAATATCGGATTTGAATTTTGGATCCCAGTATCTGACAACGGCTCTCAAAACAGGCATAATCACGGGTGTCATAGCCTTAGCTGTAAGCCCTCCCCTTTCCCCACTTCTTTTTTTATTTTTTTAGTAGTCAGTGTTGTTCAAGTTAGTTTACGCACATATATCGATTAGTCCTCTTCCTCGTCAGATAAAAGGTAAAGATGAAAACTTAGAACGTCTGAATTTGTAGTTCGCTACCGTTACTACTTAAGCTACCCTTGAACTTCTCCCTTCCCTACTTGCCTATGTAATTATTTACCCCATAACTTATTTTCAAGTTTTGCCATGTTCAAGTTTAACTTGTGTCTAGATATTCCTCAATATAAACTTAAAAATTATGGGTATTTTACACAGGAAGGAATCGCAGTGGGCCGGAGCTTTGCCATGTTCAAGAACTACAATATTGATGGCAACAAAGAGATGATTGCTTTTGGAATGATGAACATTGCTGGTTCTTGCACTTCTTGTTACATCACCACGGGTATTTTTATTCATTTACCAATATTTTGTGCCTTTTTTTCAGGTTTCCTCGTCTTTTGATTGTGAAATTAAGAGAAAGTGTAATGGAAAAAATCTTAATCCCGTGTTATTGACCTTTCAAAATGAATTTTCAGGGCCATTCTCGCGATCTGCAGTGAACTTCAATGCAGGATGCAAGACGGCAGTTTCGAATATCGTAATGGCACTTGCAGTCATGATCACACTCTTATTCTTAACACCATTGTTCCGTTACACTCCTCTTGTGGTTTTGTCTTCCATAATAATCTCCGCAATGCTCGGCCTTATTGACTACCAAGCAGCCATACATCTTTGGAAGATCGACAAATTCGACTTTCTAGTGTGCATTAGTGCATTCATTGGTGTTGTTTTTGCCAGCGTCGAGATTGGCTTAGTCATCGCGGTATGCACCCCACTCTTTTCACACCCCACCACTATATATATTCTTGTTTTTTGTTTCAACAGTCAAGGGTGTCCGACCTAACTTAAACGCACCTCGACACTATATATTCATTGTACATGTGACACCTCATTTTATATCACGAAAATGCCAGCAAAACCCATATTCAAAATCACTCAAAACAGAGTTTTTATTTTAATTGCAGGTGGCATTGTCTGTGCTTAGGGTAATGTTGTTTGTTGCAAGACCAAGGACACTGGTACTTGGTAATATACCAGATTCCATGATCTACAGAAGTGTCCATCAATACCCTAATGCTAAAAGTGTTCCAGGAATTCTCATACTAGAGATTGATTCTCCCATTTACTTTGCCAATGCAAGCTACTTAAGAGAAAGGTAACTGCCAAGCCAAAGACCCCTTTTGTATCTCAAAATTCTGAAATGAGCTCTCATCAATTCATCTACAATAATACACTTGACAAGTTCACATAACCTGTTCTGTACTATACATTACTCATCCATAACTACTTAAATTGTGATTAGGATCTCGAGATGGATTGATGAGGAGGAAGACAAGATTAAATCTACTGGAGAAAACACCAGCCTACAATATGTCATACTAGATATGAGTGGTAAGTGATGAATTTGGGAAGGCTATATATACATAGTTTTATTGCAAAAACTCAAAAATCTTTCATTTCCAGCCGTTGGCACGATTGACACCAGTGGGATAAGCATGTTTGAAGAGCTCAAAAAGAACATTGACAGAAGAGGGCTCAAGGTACATCTGAATTTACTCCAACAAGTTGTAGTTGATAGAGGAAAACTACATTAGAGAGGATCTTACTACAAAACTATTTGATAAAACAGTACTAGTCCTGCAAAGCAATAACAATATCGGCTCTAAATAAGTTTTTTGTTTCTGTGCATTTGAATGCAGTTGGTATTGGCCAATCCAGGAGGAGAGGTGGTGAAGAAGCTCAGTAAGTCCCATTTCATCGAGTCAATGGGCCAGGAATGGATATATCTAACAGTGGGAGAGGCTGTGGCAGGATGCAACTTTATGCTACACACAAGCAAACCAAAACAAATGACAGATGAATCAGAGCTAGGGAGCAATAATGTCTAAGCTTTCAATGAAGCATATTGAGTATTGTGTCATTAACTTAATATGAAGTTGGAGGCTTTTTTTTTTTTTTTTTTGTATCCCCCAAAATTGTGTAATTTGTAGAGTATAATTCACATGTATTGAAGGATACACCGCAAGCTTAGCAAATTCGTTGTTTATAATTTGGGGCCTTAATGGATTATTTATGCCAAAAATGGAACGGGGACTTTCATTTTTAAAATGAAAATAGTTGGTATACGCTCAGAGGCTCTCTATCATGATCAGTCTTTTAGTTTTAAGGAAAAATAGCCCTATTTCATGCTGGTTGTCGATTTATGTCGTGTCATGTCATTTGCATGTTGTTATTTTTGGGTCATATTATAATTTGTGTCGTGTTTGTGTCAATACACCTTTAAGAAAAATCTATTTAATGTGTTATAAGTGTCAAACATTAATCCCACTCATTTGTTATATGTATTTATCAATCGTGTCAATTTTAGAATTGTATCACGTCGGGTTCATATTGTGTTCGTATTGATGGTTCAAATAAGATAAATGACCGATAATTATTAGTTTGAAAAAAAGTAACTCTAAATAACTAGACAATATATTTTATTTCCGGATTCATTCCTTCAAACTATTGCACACTTTATTTTTAACCCTAAAGCATATCATAATTAATTAAAACATTAATTAGAAAATTGATGGTGTATGACCACGAGCAAAAAGTTCAAGTGACGTGTGATGAGCCTGGATCAGAGCTACAAGGCTCGTGTGTAATGCTGCTGCGAAATACTGAGGGGATTAAAAGGGGGTGCACATAGTGAAAATATAGTAGTTCATCGGCTTAGGAGCTCGGCTAGTCCACTCTTTAATGGAGGCTCTTGATCCCTCTCCTCTATTCACTACTCAAGTATATTACAATACCGTCTCTCTCGAAATTAGGGTTTTTCTCTTTTTTCTCTTCTTTTTCTTTATGGAGGCGTTACATAGTATTTATAGGATTATTCCCTGTTCTGTAGGATCTCAGCCGAGATCTTTGCCTGTCATTAGTGGGATTCTCCTTGATTTTAGGAGAGAATCTTGGTTGGTTGAGAGTTTCATGCTTTGAACTTAATTTTCGCAGTCATTTAGTTGTTCCCTGGTCAGTTCCGCTACCGTCTTCCCTGGGGGAGCTTTAGCTCTGGACTTCTGAGTTCCTCGTATCCTACCTGACCTCATTTCCTAAGCTCGCTCTTAAATCTTGTCTGGGGTATTATCAGTTGCCCCCCAGCCTCTGGTTCAAGTGAGATTGGGCAGGGGTTGAGCCGTTTTTAAATCAAGCTGGGCTTGCACGTGATAGATGCCCTTTGGACGATTTTCAGCAATCATGATTTCCTCGATTCCCGTGCATGCTTCAGCCCACATCTCTCAAGTTTTAAATACTCTATCAGAATCACCCTTTTTCCATTGTTTGGTATCTTAGTTGTCTCTCTCTTCTTGCGGTCTCTTGGCTTTCTGGTTTGAAGTTCTCCGATTCTTTACTCAAAATCGAGTTTTTTGGGTTCAATTTGAAGATTCGCATTGTCCTCTTTCTTCAATTTCGATCTAGGCTGTTGCTCTTTCCTAACTAGGTACGCCTATTTTGCCCCCTCTTTCGCCTTTTCTCGTCCTGGATCCCTCGAGTTCGAGGTGGTCGTTGCATTTTTGGGCTTTTCGGTTCTTTTATCTCTGGAACCGAAACTGTTGCTTGTCTCCTCTTTTCCACTTCGTGGATTGGAGCCCTATTGTACGAATTCTCGCTATTGGAAGCTACTGTGTTGACCCTAGGGTTATCTGGGAGTGCCTTACTAGTATCCCTCACCTTTACCGTTCTTTCAATTTACCTTTCTCTTGTCCAATCATGTCTACCCCTTCCAGAGCTACTCGCTCCTCTATTTCTCTATTGGGAGAAAGGTCTGCTGAAGAGGACATTGATTTAGGGGATATGGGCGAGAAAATCGACAATTTCCCTGGTGTTGATGTTGTTGACGCCGAGGCGAATGCTGAGGAACCTCCCCCATCGTCTTCTTCTGTGCCCCCTAACCCTAACAAAGGTAAGGGTAAGGTGAGTGGGGTAGGAGTCTCTGACAGTGCAACAGGCATAGGGGCTACCTTTAGGCATGCTGAGCTCATAGGCCCCAGTGAGGCTGACCCTTCTCTTATTAAAAGTTTTAGTGGTCGTTACGATTTTCCTCCTAGTGTTCAGATAAATTCACCCCATATGTTGCTTAAGTTCATAAGAAAGTCTGTTTCTTCATGGCCGCTTTTGAGAATGGCCTTCGCTTCCCAATACACCCCTTCATCAAGAGTATTTTGCAACACTTCAACGTCTGCCCTGCTCAGCTCTCTCCTAATTTTTGGGGTGTTCTGGTGGGTCTTCTAGTTTTATTTAAGAAACATGAGCTCGGGGTTCCCAGCCTTTCCTTGGTTGTGAATCTTTTTAATGTCAAGCTCACCTCATCCGAGGGTTTCTTGTATATCTCCAAGTGAACCACGGCTAGACAGATCATTACTCACCTCCCGAGCTCCCATAAGAGTTGGAAGAAACAATTCTTTTTCTTTAGAGGCACCAACTAGGAGTACAACCTTGCTGATAGGACTGACACTCTTGGTATCCCTAGAGCCTGGTCCACCCCCGATAACTTAGATGAGTCCTTGCTCGAACTGACTGAGTTCTGGTTTGAAAATTATCGAATTACCTTTTTGACCTTCGCTCTCCTTGTATTGTTTTTCAGGCATTCGACCCGAGCTCAGTGCCGAGGATGAGAAAGTGAAGCAGAAGTTGGAGAAGTGTAATCCAGAGAAATACTTCAAGCTCATTAAGCCCTAGGTTCTAGTAACACAGGGATTTAGTCCTCCTGAGGTATTAATAGAAACTCCGCTCCCTATTTCTGTTGTTAGACCTGAAGACGTAGAAAGTAACGCTTTTTGAATTGGTTTCCTTGCCTTCCCTTCTTTTTCCTCTTTTCTGTTTAACTAGCTTGGTTCAGATCTTCCAGGTCCCTCCATAATGAAGTCTACTCCTGTGGAACTCCAGGCTAAGGTTGATCTATTGAAGAAGAATAGGAAGAGTAGCAAACGAAAGGCTGAGACCAGCTCTGGAGGTAGCCTCGTTGATAGGGCTAAGGTGCAAAAGCTGGGACCGCCTTCTTCTTCTGCCTTAAGCAAAGAAGGACAAACTCCCTCATCTCAATCCCCAACAACCTCCTCTCTTCAAAGGGCCCAGCTTGCCCCCAAAACGGCTTCTGAGCCAAGGCTGGCTTCCCCCACCTCTTTTGAGGTTGAGGGAGCCTTGGGGCTGATTACTGGAATTCAGTCAGACCCCACTCCTCCTGGACCATCTGAACGACTATCCCAGCTGCCTCTCTGGAGCCCCAAAGTCGAAAAGAGGGAGGACCGGGAAACTGATGAAGACTCCTTCTTTGACAACGCTGAGTTGGCTGCTGGGGCCCTTTCATCCATTCTTCCTGAATTCGATATTCAGAGGGCCTCTACCATGCCCCCCTGAGGCCTCTTTCTGCTCAGCTCTCCAAGGAGCAGCCACTGTAAGTGTTTTTACTCTCCCACTTAGCTCGGTTCGGTTGACTTGTGCTGATTTGTACTTGTTTTCTTTTCTACCCCCAGATGGCTCTCCATTTGAAGAACTTGATGGGCAGGGTCCGATCTTCGGAGGACTCTGCTAAAGCATTGAAGGCATACGAGTTTAAGGTCGCTGAGTTGACCTTTGACAACGAAAACCTCAGAGCTCAGGTGCAAGAGCTCAAGGAGCACATGGAGAAGCAGGTCTCTGACCTCGAAGGCTTTCAAGCAGCCAAGGATAGGGTTGAGGAAAGAGAGAAAAAGGCCAAGGATGAGTTGAGAATGACCAGGGAAGAGCTGCTACTCAAAACTAATGTCTGGACCAAAGCTAGCCAGGAAGCCTTTGATGCTCAGAGTTCTCTCGAGGGCCTTAAAAAAGAGTATGTCATCCTGGCTGAGGCGAACGAGACCTTATGTAGTGAGCTCGAGGTGCAAAAGGCTACTGTCAGGAAGTGGGACAACATAATAGCCGAGCTGAAGGATAATGTCACCACCAAGTGGGCCTCTGGATGACTGGTCTTTCAATGTAAAACGGAGAAGACCTATCCAGACCTCAACTTTGACTTTGTCATCCCCACTGAGGAGGAGTTAGAGGAGACTGAATCATAGGACGATGACAACACCTTGACTCCTCCTGCTTCTGATAGGGCTTTGGAGGGTACTAAAATGTCCACTCCTCCAGTTGTTCCTACTAATATCTCCTTTTTTGCTGACCTAGTGACTGAGGCCCTTGTTCAGAACTCACCAATGGCTAAAACAGAGGTTCCTGCGACCAGCACCCCTGAGAATTCTGATCTTCTACCACCTGGGCCCCTATCCTCTGAGCTTCCGGGCTCTGCTCCTACTGTTGAAGCTTCATCCGCAGAATTGCAGAGCCCTTTAGTTACTCCTTCTTCTAAAACTTAGGATCTTGAGCTGTAATTTTTGTTTGAAATGACTCGTATTTTTGGATTGTAACTTCACTTTTGATGCTCTGAAGTATAATCTTCGTTCTGAAATGTTACATATCATTTTTTCAGTCTATTTGAGCTGTATTTGTAATACCAGCTCACATTGTGCACTCTTTAGAACTTAAAGATCAGAGAATTCATGTAGGGATACAAGTAAACCTCAATTCAAAGAAATCCAAAAGGCTCCGTTGGGGAGATGTACCAGAAGGTCCACACAACCACACGAGATGACCTCAGCCCAAAGGCATCTAACCTCCAAAGTCAGGGGTTGAGTTCTGCCTTATTTCTCAAATTTCGCTACAGCTTATCATGTCGTGTTCTTCCTGGCTCGCCTTTTAAGTCATCCATGTGAATGCTAAACGTACTAGTTTTTTTTTTAAAAAAAAATTGCTCAACACAACCTAACTTGCTCTTCAATGCAGTCTACTCTACTCAATACTATCTAACTTGCTCTTCAATGCAGTCTACTCTGATCTGCTCTTATTGTTTTGTGGTTTAAACGGTTCGTTTAAACCGCTCTGTACTCCCTTTGCCCCCTTGCTTTGAGGAGTATTCAGTTCTCCTTAATAGCAAAATTGTTACTTATCGCTTCCCTTAGTGATAAGAGGTTTGTTGGATTTGGCAAGGAGAGTAAGCAACTTGATATTGAGGTCTTTTGAGCTCTTTTCCCTGTATATCTGTATCTTGATTTTTTTTAAG